GGAGCTTTTCTTAGGAGGTTTTCTTGAACCTTTTTGGAGCCTGTTTAAAGTTTTCTTTATATCATTGAACGAGTCTCTGTGTTGTCAATCCCCGACACCCTCCGCACGTTCTCGGACACAGGCCACGCAGCAAACGTGACAATTATTCTCTGGATTTCCTCACTGTCCATTGTGATAGCTCCCCTTTTGCCTCTAATTTTATTAGTTTGTATCTTTTTCTCCATCTTTTAGTTAATTTATCTACTGTTATACCAATCTTATTGATTTATGCAAAGAAAAAAAAGTTATTTAATTGATTTTTTGTATTGTTTCTATTTTGCTGAATTCAGCCCTGAGTTTTATTATTTCTTGACATCTACTCTTTTGGGGTATAATTTCTTCTTTTTGTCCTAGAGATTTCAGACATGCTGTTAACTTGCAAATATGAGATCTCTCTCTGTCTCTTTTTTTTTTTTTTTTTTTTTGGTTTTTCGAGACAGGGTTTCTCTGTATTGTTTTGGAGGCTCTCCTGGAGCTCGCTTTGTAGACCAGGATGGCCTCGAACTCACAGAGATCTGCCTGCCTCTGCCTCCCGAGTGCTGGGATTAAAGGCGTGCGCCACCAACGCCCGGCTTCTCTCGGTCTCTTAAATGTAGACACTTACTTTTATGAACTTGCTTCTTAGAACTGTGTGTCCCATAGATTTGGATATGTTGTGTTTTCATTTTCATTATTAATTTCCATCCTAATTTCTATCTTTATTCATTTTTCATTCAATAGTGAGTTGATCAGTTTGTATACTTTTTGTTGTTGCTGTTGTTGTTGATATCCAGCTTTAATCCACAGTGGTCAGATTGGATGCAAGTTGTCTTTCCAATTTTATTATATACATTGAAACTTGCTTTGTGTCCAAGTATGTATTCAATTTTGGAGAAAGTTGCATGAGTTGCTGAGAAGAAAATACATTCTTCAGTGTTTTGGTGAAATATTCTATAAATGCCTACTAGTTCATTTGATTTAGGATATCATTTAACTCCAGAATTTCTTTGTTTAGTTTTTGTCTGGATGATATGTCTATTAGTGGGAATGGTGTATTGAAGTCACCCTTTATTGCTGTGTGAGGGTCAATATGTGATTGGTTTTAGAAATAGTAGTGTTTTACTTATGAACTTTGGTTCCCTTGTTTTTGTACATAAGTGTTTAGAATTGAAAATAAATATCTTCTGTCTAGCTTTAGTTTGAAGTCTATTTTGTCAGTTATTAAAATGGCTGTACCTGCTTGTTTCTTGGGTCCATTGGCTTGGGAAACCATTTTACATCCTTTTATCTTGAGGTATATATATCATTGATGGTAAGTTATGTTCCTTGAATGCGGTAGAAAGATGGTTACTGTTTTCTAATCCATTCTGTTGGTCTTTGTCTTTTTATTAGGGAATTGATACCATTAGTATTGAGAGTTAACAATAATGAGTGTTTACGGATTTTCTGTTATTTTGTTCTTATGATGTAGGCTTCTTCCTCACACACACACACACACACACACACACACACACACACACACGCACACACTGGCGCGCGTGTCCGTGTCCGTGTCCGTGTGTGTGTGTGTGTGTGTGTGTGTATGTCCTGTGTTTTCTTAAGTGTGGCTATCCACGTCAGCCTGAAGATTTCCTTCTAGTGTCTTCTGTAGAACTAGATTAGATACTGCTAAAATTTGTTTTTATCAGGGCATGCTTTTCTTTCTCCATTGATTGTGATTGACAATTTTCTTTGGTTTATAGTCTGAGCAGGTATCTGTGTTCTCTCAGAGTTTGTGGAACATTCATCCAGGCCCTTCTGGCTTCCAGAATCTCCATTGAAAAGTCAGGTGTTATTCTAATTGGCCTGGCTTTATATGTTACTTGGTCTTTTCCCCTTGCAGCTTTTAATACTCTTTCTTTGTTCAGTGCTTTTAATGTTTTGATTATTATTTGTCTTTTCTGGTCCAGCCTATTTGGTGTTCTGTACTTTTTGTACCTTGATAAGTAGGCATCTTTTTTTGTAGGTTGGGGAAATTGTCTTCTATAATTTTGTTAAAGACATTTTCTCTGTCTTTGACCTGGGTTTCTCCTCCTGCTTCTCTTCCTATTATTTGTAGATTTGATCTTTTCAAGGTGTACCAGATTTCCAGGATATATATTATTTTTAGATTTAACATTCACTTTGACTGACGTAATGATTTATTCTTCCTTGTATTGAATACCTGAGATTCTATCTTCTATCTCTTGTACTTCATGAGTTTTATATCTGATATTTTTGTTTGACTTCTTAAATTTTTCATTTTCAGTTTGGACTTTCTTTAGTGACTCTATTTTGTTAAATTCTAATTTCATGTCTTGAATTATTTTCATTATTTCATTTCAATATTTGTTTTGGTACTGTAAGACCATGTTTGTAATGACTGTGCCAAGCCTAGAAGACAGCAGTTTACAGCCCTTTTCCCTATATTCCTTCTCTTACATTTTTCTGCTCCTTCTTTGGCAATATTCCTTATAGGAGGTATTATAAATCTTCTATTTAAAGCCTAACACTCAACTCTCACATATTGTCTGCAACTTGAGCAGCTTTCATCTCCACATTGATCACCAATCACTGAACATGAGATTTCTCTAATTCAAGCTGGGAGTAGAATTTATCTATGGGTAGAAACATAAATAATATAAGGCAGTATGGCATCACGCCATTTTAGCTAAACAACAACATTATGGTTTTTTTCTAAGACCTAAGGCATCCCTGGCCATGGGTTTTTGACTGGGTTTATAAAAGCAGGTATAAAGTATCTCTTGTGGATTGGACCTCAAAGCCAATAAAGAAATGGAGTTGGTTACCCCTATAACACTGTTGCACTTGGGTACCTCTTGCCTATCAGATTGATACTGCAGATTGTAGAATTCATATCTAGATAGGACCTTTGACATCTTTTCTTCCCCAGCAGCTTATATAGCACCTTTCTGATTCTAGAAAAGCTGCCTACCTTGATCACCCACAACTTTTCCAGGGTCTAGCCCTGTGTGTCTCCCTGACCCACATACCATCTGCAATTTACAAGATCTAGCTTGAGTTCTACATACAGTGACTGAGCCTACTTTGGTCACCCTTACTCACACTGCATCCAATCTTTAGGCTTCTACCAGGATCCACACTTCCCATTGCCAATCCCCAAAGACCTTTCCATGCCATACCCAAACTCTCCATCTAGCCAGCTCTACCACAAATTCCAGGCTTGGGCCAGGAGCCACATGCTGTGTACCAGTCAAGTCTTCATTCTTCTTCCCAAACCATTTCCAACCTCTAGTCACAACCTGCCCACACATCCTCTTCTCTTTCTCAACCTGCTCTGCCTATATTAGACTTAGAACTAACAAAAGAAGTCCACATGCTTAGATTTCATGGCAAAATTACAAATATCAGTGTCTTCTCTGCAAAGCCTACCAGTCCCATAGCAATGTTTGCCAGTGAAAATTACCTTCATGAACTCCAGGACACAGAATTTAAAAGAATTATCATAACATCATCAAAGGATTCAGAGTTTGAAAGACATAAAGAAATTGCTCAGTGAAATTGAGGAAGAAAGGCATGTAGAAGGAGTGTTCTGAAACACCTTCTATGGAGCAAGGATCACTGTCAAACCAAACCAGATAAAGACACATTTAAAAAACAAAACTACCCACCAATATCCATGATAAACATAGACTCAAAAATTCTCAATATAATCCTTGCAAATAGAATGAAGATATACATCAAGAAGATTATCTACCATTTACTAGGTAGGCACTATAGAAGAAACTCAGGTATAGTTCAATATATTTAAATCAATAAATATAATAAACTTAATGAACATAATAAACACAAATGAACTTAAAGAAAAATCACATATCAACAGACACAGAAGAAAATCTTTAACAAAATTCAACATGCTCTTATGATAAAAGTCTTAGAGAATGTATGTCTAGAGAGAGCATAACTGAACATAATAGGAGTTATAAATGAGGAACCCATGGAAAACATCATCCCAAATGGAGAAAAGGAGCCAGGACAAGGCAGGGATGTCTATTAGCTCCACTATTTTCAGTATTATTCTCGAAGTACAAACTAAAGCAACAAAGTGAGAGGAAGTTAAAGGATATAAGTAGGGGAAAAAGAAGTCAAACTATTCCTATTTGCAGATGATATAATACTATACATTAGAGATCCCCAAAATTCTACCAGAAAACTTCTAGAAATGATAAATTAGCAATGCGGCAGGTTACAGAATCTACTTGTACAAATAAATAGCTTTTATAACAAAAACATATAGAGAAAGAGATTATGGACACATTCCCATTCACAATAATTTCAAAGAAAATAAAATATCTAGGAATAAATAACCAAGGATGTGAAGGACCTCTACAATAAAAGGTTTAAACCTCTGATTATAGAGACAAAGGAAGACACTGGAAAATAGAAAGGCATCCCAAGCTTATACTGTGAAAATAATCATTCTACCAAAAAACGACTTACAGATTAAATGCAATCCCAATTAACAGAAATAATAAAAAGGAAACTATCCTAAAATTCATTTGGAACCATAAAAGACCCCGAGAGCCAAAACAGTCCTTAGCAAAATCTGCAATGCTGGACGGTATTCTATTCAGTATCTTAAGATATATCACATAGCCATAGTAAAGAAAACAATATGATACTGGCATAAAATGGATAAGTAGACAAATAGAACAAAATTGAAAACCCAAACATGAGTACACTAATTTTAATCATTGAATATTTGAAAAAGATTAATCTGCTCCGGCAGCAAGGCTTGGAAAAAGTCACTCACTATTATTGTAAGTACCAGTGCACTGCCTGATGAGGGGCTAGAAACCCACTTAGAGTTTTCATACAACTCCCAAATTATGAGGGACATGATGACCATGAGGGCTATGTTCAATAACAGCATGAGGTCCTCAGGAAAGCAGTCCTTGGGGGCCTGCTTCTCTGAGACTCACCCATTGTGTCTATGCAAACAGTGGGCCACTTGCTGTTCCTCTTGCATGGCCCCCGACACAGAGTTGAAGAAATAGTCTTCCCCATGTAACACCAATTGGTGTTGGAACTGGATACCCTGAAAGCATACATAAAAGTAACATTATACTGAGCATGTAGGGATACTTACATTTATATGTGTATATTTGCATTTAACAGGGATTAATGAAAAAAAGGAGCCAGGAATTTGATATAGACCAAGAAGTAGTATTTAGGAGGATTGGAGTAAGGAAAAGGAGGGGAAAGTGATGTAATTATGATATAACATCCAAAATAAAATAAATAATTAAACACAATGAGAGGGATGGATGGATGGAGGGAGGGAGGGAGGGAGGGAGAGAGAGAGAGAGAGAGAGAGAGAGAGAGAGAGAGAGAGAGAGAGAGAGAGAGAGAGAGCAGGGAGACAATTTACAGCTCAGTTTCTACTTGATTTCTCTACATTGGCCGTGTGTGTGATATCCTCAGCAGCAATGTCTTATGGTCTACTTCTGATGGGCACCTAGATGCCTGTACTGTTTAGTGGGGGATTACTTTGGGGCTTCCTACATGAGGCTTTCCTATTTTGTGAAATAATTGACTGTGATGGCTCAAAACCATAAATATTCTACTTGCATTTAAGCCTTGGCACAGTCTAAAAGCCTCTGCTGGATCCAATAATATTTAAATCCATAGCATTTAAAATCCACGTAACTTGGGGCAGGCATCTTAGCCTTCTTGAGTTTCTTAAGCTCTGTCTTAAATGAAGAACATATCAGTATCTGTCTGTCCAACTAAAGGATTATGGTAAAAATAATGAAATTATCTGAAAGCATTGTATAGCATGTCAGAAGCATATGGAAACTTTACAGCTTAGTGACAGCATAATTCCCCTGTGTATGTCCCAAATTTCTTTAAAAATACATTTGTATTTCCTGCTTTTACACACACACACGCACACACACACACACACACACACACACACACACACAAAACCCTACCGTGCAAACTCAGGATTCACTTGAAAGGTTATCATGACATAGCACAAAATCCACAGGGAGAAATACAGAAGTATTTTGAATCTCTTAACCTGAGTGCACAAGTATTTGACATCAGGTGACAATTTGTACCTAGCTTCAACAGGATGCAGGTCCGTCATCAGAGCTTTTCTCATTCTTAGTACATTCAGAAGAACCTTTTCTCCTGTGTATTGAGATATCCTACAAAACTTTATAAGTCTACATTGCTATCCTACCCACTTTTGAAAGTATATTCTTTATTGTTTCAGATTTATTTTGCATGTATGAATGCTTTGCCTGAATGTATGCCTGTGTGTCACATGCGTGTTTGTGGTTGCTGAAATTGAAACCTGGGTCCCTTGCAAGAACAACAAGCACTCTTAACCACTGAGTTACCTCTCCAGCCCCTACTCTACAGGTCTTAAGAATGTATAGATCTAAAAGTTTACAGACTTGTAAGAAGTTATCTTTGCATCCAATAAGTCTGGAGTCAAAATGACTTGAGTGTGAATCTTGTCCATGCCACTTGCCAGCTTAGTGATGATGTGAAGGTTAGCTTAGGTCTCAGCACCCAGAAGAAAAAGAATAATAATCAAACTCTCATACAGCAGTGTGAGAATAAATGGGACAACATGACAAGTGCTTGGCACTTTTGGAACCCATAGTGTCCAATAAAAATTCTGTCTCCACCTTAATGAGTTACTTATTTTGGCTTAAGTGATCTGAAGCAGGTTCTCCTCTTGGACTTTAATTAATTGCTTATTTGCTTTACTTGCTCTTTTTTCAAAAATGCCACTGCTTTGTCCCACTCTATCTATTATAAATGGTACTCACAGCGATTAACTGGCCTAAGATGCTCTTTAAGCAAGACAGCTTTCAGATCTTGTCATTCCTAGTCTTAATTGCTTGAGGAAGTACACGGATGTGTAGTCTCTCCCACTCCAGCAAGAATCTACAGAGAATGCACTAGAAAAATTTTCTTCTATTTTTGTAAATTGCTACTCCCTGTTTATGTATTCATTTTCATAGGTTGATTCATCTTTATTGTTAATTAAACCCTTAAATTACCTTCCAAATTGGAATTAAAGTAAAATGTCAAAGGCATTTACATTTCAAAACTAGACCTTCCACATGTACAATGATTCTCAGAGTATTAAAAAATAAGAGAAAATCATGTTAGTATGAAGTCCTAGACCCAGAAATAAAAGTAGCCTGGGAAATAAGCTATTTGTATGATAGCACACATTAGCCCTGGGTGTGAGGCAAACAATTCTACCTATAACAAGATTGTTGGAGGTCCCCTGTTGAAAGATTGGGGTGTGAGAAACCAAATTGAAGCAAATAATAAAAATGAAGTGCCTCTCCTCATTTTCAGAGCCTTTATAAATTGTTTTTAATCATAACCTACAGTTAGAAATTTCACACTTATTTTTGTCAGTTGTTAGCATATTCTTGCTCCTTTTTGGGAATCAATGAGCTGTTTGGGCCCAAGCCTTTTCATTTTGCAAAATTACCATTCCTTTTGCCTCTCCCCTGTTGTTTCCTTTCACTACTGAGTATTTGTTAACTACAGAAAAAATTCCTGCTTTGCTCCTACTTGTCAGGTGTAGTACGGAAGCACTAATGAAAAACATTTTTCATGCTTATTCAACAGAGACTGTCCAAGTAGAATGAGTGAAATGCTTTCTACTTAAACTGAAACCTGTCCAAATGTTTCCATAGAGGCTTTCTTTTTACAACTAAATAAGCTGACCCTCCATTTGTTTCAATACCAATTTCTCAAATTTCCCTAAGAGCAAGTTATTTGAGGGAGTAAGCTCCACATATTAAGCAGGTTTTTGCAAGAGTGTCAACCATCTGGACTGTGAAAGAATTGGTCCAATTTGAGGTAAGGAGCAGACTTTGTGCTGCAATCTGTCACCCCATGTCACTCACCATCCAGACTGTCTGTGAATTGGGTCCTTGGGCAGATGAAGTAGAAAGGCAGATGGGACTCTGAGTGGTAAGAAGGGGCTCTGGAGGTGTTCAGTTCATTCTTAGTCACGGAACAGTCTCTGTGGAAGGGCTCGTCTCAAGTCTGCCTTCTGAACTCTCTGAAGGTGGGCAGGGGGCTGATGATTAGCTCCTAACTCCAATCCTAACTCCAATCCGCGGAGGAGAGGGAAATGAGAGGAGCTGGACTGTGTGATGCTGAGCTTGCAGAGGGGAATTGGAGCCTCAGCTTTCATGGGTGAGTTCTAGAAAGAGAAGAAGTTCTGGCAGAGAGAATGGATGCTAAGGAGTTACATGTAACAATCTGTCACCAAGGGAACCAAATGAGTACAGAGCCAAAGGTGTATGAGTGAGTGCTTATCTATAATGGTTCACCAGTTTCAGAATCACAAGGGAAAAGAGACCAATATTCTTAAAATGTTTAGTATTTAAAAATATTAATGTTAAGACCAAGAATGAAAATGAGAATATCTCAGCATTTAGTCTCATTTATCTACCTAGGTGATGAAAGCTAGCGGTGGCTGAAGCATCCAAAGGTCTAACCCAGATTAGTTATAGCAAATTTTCATTATGGATGGGAAAGTGGTCTATGAGGCACAGTCCTCCCTGAGGGACTGTTGGAAGCTAATGGTTGTTGAGGGTATGTGTGTCACTTTCTTCAGTATTGTAACTGCTCACAAACTTCCCTTGCTATGGTAAATTACATTCTGCTTGTGACTGGACAATAAATTAATTAAACTCAGTGGACCACACTCTAAAGGAACAAATGGCAGTAAGAAGGGGCTTATTGAGAAGGATTCCAATGTAAGAGGGAGGAGAATGGTGGTGAAAACCACAAAAAATAATTACATAAATGTAGGAAACCATCCAAACCATCTGCTTTGACTTAAGTTCAGGACTGCCAACAAGTTGTGTCTCTCAGAGTGGTCAACCAGTAGAAATCGACTTCCTATGTCATCACTCTCCGGCACTCTAGATGACAGTTTACTGTTCTCTGTTCTAATTTCGGCTAATCATTTTGCACTGGGAATTCAGAAGCCATCAGCAGGTTGCCCCACAGATCATGGCCACCAAACCTTAACTTCTCTCCATTACAGTGACTGAAATCCAGAGACGATTTCTCATCCCTGGTGCATCAACCCCCATTTCTCCTCACGTATCCAAGATACCAACCAGGCATTTTCCATCCCTCTCCTTTGTATCCTTCCCTATTCTTGTTTTATTGAATTACTCTGTTGGTATATAGGCACACTAAACCTCTTCCATGAGGCATGCCATATTTTCTGTTCTCAACGAACCCTGGTTGACTTTCATCTCTACTATTTGATGAAGCAACCCCTGTCAATGTTAGTAATGACCTCCATGTTGCTGAATCTAATGACTTGTCTTTGTTTAACTTGACCTATCAAGAGGACCACAAAGCTGGCCACTCTCTCCTTAAAGGTGAGTTTAAAACCTTATTTGCTCCGAGTTTTCGAGACAGTACTCTCCTAAATCATAGCTGCTTCTTACAAAATCCTTTCTTGCCTTGAGTCTTTTTCCTTCATTATACAGATGCTGTGCCTCTGTTGATGATGCCCAAATCTATCTCTCTTCTCTTCCCCAGACTCATATACCCAACTGTCTACATTTCAATATATCTGTCTCATGGAAGTTTTAGTTTGGTGTTTCAGAACCAAACTCTTGGTGTTCCTCTTTTTTTATTAAGTATGTTTTTTAATTTAAATTAGAAACATGCATGCTTCAAATGTCAATCCCAGCTCCCCCCCTTCTCCCTCCACCAGCCCCAACCCCATCCCCTACCCCCAGCTCAATCCCTGGATCATTCCCCAGGGAGGGTGAGTCCCTCCTTGGGAGGATCTCCAGAGTCTGTCATTTCATCCAGGGCAGGACCTAGGCCTTTCCCCATGTGTCCAGCCTGAGAGAGCATCCCTCCATGTGGAATGGGCTCCCAAAGTTCATATGTATGCCATGGTGAACACTAGTCTACTACCCAAGGCCCCAGAGATTTCTGAGGCCTCCTCACTGACACTACATTCATGGAGTCTGGATCAGTCCCCTGTTGGCCTCTTAGTCATCAGTCTGGGGTTCAAGAGCTCCCCCCTTTTCCAGTCATCTGTCTTTGTGGGTTTCACCAGCATGGTCTTGACCGCCTTGCCCATCACTCCTCCATCTCTCTCACTGGGTTCCAGGGGGTCAGTTCAGTGTTTAGCTGTGAGTATTTGTCTCTGCTTCTATCAGTTGCAGGATGAAGGTTCTAGGATGTCACATAAGGTAGTCATCAACCTTATCATCAGGTAGGGGCTCTTAATGTAGTCTCTCTGCTATTACTTAGTTTTCCAGTAGGTGTTATCCTTGTACATCTCTGGAAATCTCCCTGGTGTCAGCTCTGTCCTCAAAGCTATGACTCCAACTATTATGGTATCTCTCATCCTGGTCTCCTCTATTCTTACCCTGAATCAACCTTCCTGCTCCCCCATGTCTTCTATCCTCCTCTTATCCCCCTCTCTTTTTCCCGGTTCCCTCTCTTCTCCCCACATGTTCCCAATCTGCCTAGGAGTTCTTGCCTCTTTCCACTTCTCTGGGGTATAATGCATATCTCTTGGGAACCTCCCTGTTTCCCAGACTCACTGGCAGTGGGATTGTAGGCTGACACTCCCCTGAACCATGAAGCAAACTCACCCAGGAGGAGTAGACACCAGGAAATAATCAAATTGAGGGCTGAAATCAATAAAGCAGAAACTAAGAAAACAATACAAAGAATCAGTGTAACAAAGAGTTGGTTCTTTGAGAAAAATCAACAAGATAGACAAACCTTTATCCAAACTCACCAGACAACAGAATATGAACATGCAAATTAACAAAATCAGAAATGAAAAGGGGGACATAACAATGGACTCTGATGAAATTCAGAGAATCATTAGGTCATACTTTGAAAACCTGTACTCCACAAAATTTGAAAATTTAAAGGAAATGGATGACTTCCTGGATAGATATCACCTGCCAAAATTAAATCAATAACAGATAAGCAATTTAAATAGACCTATAACTCCTATGGAAATAGAAGCAGTCATCAAAAGTCTCCCAACCAAAAACAAGCCCATGTCCAGATGGCCTCAGTGCAGAATTCTACCAGAAATTCAAAGAACAGCTTATACCAATTCTTCTCAAAGTATTCCATGCAATAGAAGCAGAAGGGTCTTTGCCAAACTCTTTCTACGAGGCTTCAATAACCTTGATCCCCAAGCCATACAAAGACACAACTAAGAAAGAGAACTTCAGACCAATATCCCTCATGAACATTGATGCAAAAGTACTCAATAAAATACTGGCAAATCGAATCCAAGAACACATCAGAAAACTCATCTACCATGATCAAGTAAGTTTCATCTCAGGGATGCAGGGATGGTTCAACATACGAAAATCCATCAATGTAATCCACCATATAAACAAGGTGAGAAACAAAAATCACATAATCATCTCACTAGATGCTGAAAAAGCCTTTGACAAATCAAACACCCCTTCATGTTAAAGGTCTTGGAGAGATCTGGGATAATAAGAACATACCTAAACATGGTAAAAGCTATATACAGCAAACCAACAGCCAACATCAAACTAAATTGGTGTTCCTCTTTAATTCCTTACTTCCAAAGACTTTTATATCCAGTATCAAAGTGTTTCTTCAACCTTCTCTCTAACTCAATTCTCTACATTTCATTCATCAGCAAATCCTTGCTCCTACATTCCAAACAGAATCTGTCTTATGCTACCATAGTTTAGACGTCATCATCTCCTAAGCAATAGGATATTTTCCCATTGGCCTCACTGTGACTACATTTGCCCTTAGAAACAGACAAGACCAGTATGCAAGGATACCTACTCTTTCCTTGGGCTTCTGACTAGTTTATGGCCATGGAATATGAGTGTCAACAATAGCTGTCAGTGGATCTCCTAGTTGACTTTCTCTTTGTCAATGACCATTAGGTGAATGTTGGAATAGTAGAGCCACAAGCAAAGATAGCTTGTATTGCTGAATTGCCATACAAAGCCTATCTGCCAAATACAATAATAGGCTTCTATTATATTCAGGAAGAATTCAAATACATCAAGTCTTTCTCTCTCTATCTCTCTCTGTCTCTGTTTCTGTCTGTCTCTCTGTCTGTCTGTCTGTCTATCTCTCTCTCTCTCTCTCTCTCTCTCTCTCTCTCTCTCTCTCTCTCACACACACACACACACACAAGACCTTAGAGAAACATATCAACCCTGTACAATTTCCACCATTAATTTCTACCTCAATTTCTTTCTCTCGTGTTTGATTACTCTACTTCCAGTCTATCTGTCCTTTTGTTAATCTTAGAATAGTACATATGCATCTTTCTCATCACTGTCTCAGTTATATCCTTTATGTTCACAGGATATCTATATGGCTCATTTCCTCATCTTTCATGGTTAACTTAAGAAATGATATGCCAGAATGGCCACCAACTTATTACTCAAATGCATATATATATATTTATATATACACACACATATGTGTAACACACACACACACACACACACACACACACGTTACTTCCAAGTACAGTGGAGGCATCTACAGATGACTGATAGTGTCTGGTACATAGGAGACAAGTAATAAGCACATGTGGGGTGAATGAATGAGACTACTTTTGTCTAATTAAAAAATCTAAAGTTGGCAACTGCTGATTAATATACTAATAATAGAATGTGTAAAGAATACCATCAGAAATTCACATGTGGCTTATTATAATGCAAAAGTTATACATAAAAAGCTACCACCAGGAATCAGATTATATATATAACTTAGTTCCAAATCAAAGAATACAAAATATAAACCCTTTAACTACTTACAATTAAAATAAAGAGCAGTAGACAAAGGATAATTTTTTTCTGTAATTGAATCTATTCATTTTAATAAAATATCTATGATAAAATCCTAAAAGGATATTACACAGCCCATTAGTACATAATAATTGATGAATAAAATTTATTGCACAATTATAGACTAGGAAATGAAGTAGAGATTATGTCTGCTGTGGTATAAGGGGGCAGTAAATAAGTGATTATGAATGCCCACTTTTAAAGCTGTCACACACTCCCAAGTATTTCCTATATACATGGAATTATTAACATAGTGGTATTTTCATATTCACAATTAATCAGGAGAGTTCAAGATTTAATGTGAAAACACCAATATGAAATAATAAAAGTTCTTGGAAATATAGCCTAATGGTGAAAGT